TCCCCCTCTCTGAGCCTGACACACTCTCAGGGGGGGTCTGGCTGCTTCCCCTGGGGACAAGATCCTGGCCCTGTGGCTGATCATTCTCCTCCAGCTGGGCAATCAGCTGGGCCTTGGTTGCTTTCCGCACAGGCAAGCCCCTCTCTCTGCACAGCCCCACCAGCTCTGCCTTCAAGAGTCGGGCGTAGGCCATCTTCATTCTCTTCCAGCCGGGCAATCAGCTGGGCCTTGGTTGCTTTCTGCACAGGCAAGCCCCTCTCTCTGCACAGCCCCACCAGCTCTGCCTTCAAGAGTCGGGCGTAGGCCATCTGCCCGCTGGGTCCCTCGGTGCAGACTCACCAGTCTAGTGCTGCAGCGCCCCACGATTCCCAGGAACCGCTTCGCTCTGTCTCCAGCATGCCTGGCTACCGGGCTCTAGCTTTACTGCGCCTTGTCGCTCACCGCTGGAAGCTCCATTCACGGGGTGCAGTGCATCTCACTTCTGACACCAGTGTGACGGCGCGTTGGGGTTCTCCCGCCTCCTGCACCCCCGAAATGGCACAAACAGACATCACCAGCCAGTAGAATAGAGGTGGTTTATTGCTTCTCCAGGATATAGCACAGCACAGATGTCATCAGGTTACAGGGCAGGCCTAGGATGCCTCAGCCCCCCTTGATATAGGGCAGGGGTCTCGGCTTCTTAACCCCCCAGCCTGTTGCTGAGGCTGCTTCCTCCATGCTCCCAGACAGAAAACTAACTCATTCTCCTCCAGCCCTGCCCCCCAGCCAGGGTAGCATCCACCTTCCTTTGTTCCTCCCCATGGGGGGTGGCTGGTCAGACAGGTTGAGACACCCTTTGCATAATGACTCATCCTATTTTGCTGGGCCATGGTACCAACTGCAGCCCGTGGGGGTTACCCCAGAGCCAGCAGCATAGAAACCAGCCAGATACCCCCACTACGTCACACCCACCACCAAAGAAACCGAGGCTAAGGACACCATTCCTACCCATCCTGGCTAACAGCCATTGATGGACACAACCTCCATGAATCTGTCCAGCTCTTTCTTGAAGCCTGTTAAAGTCCTTGTCTTTGCAACATCCTATGGCAAGGAGTTCCACAGGTTGACTGCGCACTGAATGAAGAAAAATTTCCTTTGTTTTTTTTTAAACCTGCTGCCTATTAATTTCATTTGATGAGCCCTAGTTCCTATGTTATGAGAACAAGTAAATAACGTTTACTTATTCACTTTTTCCACCCCCATCATGCTTTTATAGACCTCTATCTTATCCCTCCTTAGTCTCCTCTTTTCTAAGCTGAAAACTCATCTAGAATGATAGAGGAGGTATCTGAGCCTTTAGCTATCATATTTGAAAAATCATGGAAGTTGGGAGAGATTCCAGAAGACTGGAAAAGGGCAAATCTAGTGCCCATCTATAAAAAGGGAAATAAGAACAACCCAAGAAACTATAGAGCAGTCAGTTTAACTTTTATGCCAGGAAAGATAATGGAGCAAATAATTAAGGAATCATCTGCAAACACTTGGAAGATAATAAGGTGTTAGGTATCAGCCAACATGGATTTGTAAAGAACAAATCACGTCAAACCAATCTGCTAGCTTTCTTTGATAGGCTAATGAGTCTTGTGAATAAGGGAGAAGCAGTGGTCGTGGGATACCTACACTTTAGCAAGGCATTTGAAACGGTCTCGCATGATAGTTTTATCAATACACTAGGCAACTACAACTTAGATGGGGCTACTATAAGGTGGGTGCATAACTGGCTGGATAACCGTTCTCAGAGGCCTTGTCTAAACTACTGCCCCTCTGTCAGCAGAGGGATGTAAATTAGACGTTTTGAAAATGCAAGTGAAGCGGGGATTTAAATATCCCACGCTTCATTTGTATAATCGTGTTCTGGAGCTGTTTCAAACAAGTGCCATTTCGAAACTGAAACCACAGTTTAGACGCGGGTTTTTTTATACAGTTTTTTTAGACACATTTTTTTTTTAAAACAGGGCGCTTTATTGAAAGATCCTATACTTCTCCTAAACTGCTGTTTCAGTTTCGAAATGGTGCCAGAACGCGATTATGCAAATGAAGCACGGGATATTTAAATCCCCACTTCATTTGCACATTCAAAACAGAGGGGTGTAGTTTAGATGTAGCCAGAGAGTAGTTATTAACGGTTCACAGGCGTGCTAGACAGGCACAAGTGGGGTTCCACGGGGGTCTGTTCTGGGACCAGCTGTTCAGTGTCTTCATCAGCGATTTAGATATCAGCACAGAGAGGACGCTTCTTAAGTTTCCGGATGATCCCAAGCTGGGAGGGGCTGCGAGTGCTTTAGAGGAGAGGGGCAGAATTCAAAATGATCGGGAGAAATTGGCTGAGGTAAACAGGATGAAGTTCGATAAGGACCAATGCAAAGTGCTCCACTTAGGAAGGAACAATCAGTCTCACACACACAGAATGGGAAGCGACTGTCTAGAAAGGAGTACGGCAGAAAGGGATCTAGGGGTCAGAGTGGACCACAAGCTAAATATGAGTCAACAGTGTCACACTGTGGCAAGTATCAGAGGGGTAGCTGTGTTAGTCTGGTGAAGTGGGTTTTTGCATCTGATGAAGTGGGTCTTTACCCACGAAACCTTATGCTCCAATGCATCTGTTAGGCTATAAGGCTGTGTCTAGACTACATGCCTCTGTCGTCAGAGGCATGTAGATTAGACACATAGGCAAAGGCAAATGAAGCCGCGATTTAAATGATCGCGGCTTCATTTACATTTACATGGCTGCTGCGCTGAGCCGACAAACAGCTGATCAGCTGTTTGTCCGCTCAGCGGGCTAGTCTGGACGCTCCCCTGCCGACATCAAAGCCCTTTGTCGGCAGCCCCGGTAAATCTCATCCCACGAGGAATAACAGGGCTGCTGACAAAGGGCTTTGATGTCGGCAGGGCTGCCGACAAAGGGCTTTGATGTCGGCAGGGGAGCGTCCAGACTAGCGCGCTGAGTGGACAAACAGCTGATCAGCTCTTTGTCGGCTCAGCACGGCAGCCATGTAAATGTAAATGAAGCCGCGATCATTGAAATTGCGGCTTCATTTACTTTTGCCAAACAACAAATCTACATGGCTCCGTCGACACAGTCATGTAGTTTAGACGTACCCTAAGGTGCCACAGGACTCCTTGTCACACTGTGGCAAGAAAAGCAAACATGATTCTGGGATGCATTAACAGGTGTGTCATGAGCAAAATGCGAAAAGTCATTCTTCCGCTCTACTCTGCGCTGGTTAGGCCTCAGTTGGAATATTGTGTCCAGTTCTGAGCACCACATTTCACGAAAGATGTGGAGAAACTGGAGAAGGTCCAGAGAAGAGCAACAAGAATGACTGAAGGTCTAGAAAACATGAGCTATGAGGAAGGCTGAAAGAATCGGGCTTGTTTAGTTTAGAAAGGAGAAGACTGAGAGGGGACATGAGAGTCGTTTTCAAGTATCTAAAAGGGTGTCACAAAGAGGAGGGAGACAAATTGTTCTCCTTGGCCTCTGAGGATAGAACAAGCAGCAATGGGCTTAAACTGCAGCAATGGAGGTTCAGGTTGGACATTAGGAAAAAGTTCCTAACTGTCAGGGTGGTCAAACACTGGAATAAATTGCCCAGGGATGTTGTGGAAGCTCCGTCTCTGGAGATATTTAATTGCAGGTCAGACAGACACTTATCCGGGATGGTCTAGACCAGGGGTGGGCAAAAGGGCCTCTGCAGGCTGGATTTGGCCCACCAAGAGGATTGATCCGGCCCACGGAGGCCCTGCTGCTCAGTTAAGGCCTGGGGGCAGGGGACAGCTCAAAACTTCCTCCTTCCTTGTGAGGTGCACCCAGCACTTCAAAGTGCCACATGCTCCTTGCAGGGTGGGAGGCTTCGCGTGCTCCCCCTGCCCAGAGGCCAGTCGGCTTGCGGGTGGGGAGCCTGTAAGGTCTCCTCCTGCCCTGCAAGGGGTGTGTCATACTCTGAAGCGCCATGTGCTCCTCACAGGGCAGGAGGAGGCTCCTCGTGCCCTCAGGGCCTGGGGTGGAGGAGCGTGAGAAGCCTCTTCCTGCCCTGCCAGGGGAATGGGTGCCTAGTGGGAAGGGGGGGCAAAGGGGCTCCCTACCCCCGACCAATCATGGTCTGGGGGTGGGGTAGCCCAGAAGCATCCTGGACCCGCCCCTTCTGGTTTAGGCCGTGCCCCTTCTGGGGTGGCCCCCAGCCAAAAATTATTAAAAACTTACCATTTTTGAAGTGGCCTCTGGCCAAAAATTATTGCCCACCCCTGATCTAGATGGTGCTTGGTCCTGCCATGTGGGCAAGGGATTGGACTTGACGACCTCTCAAGATCCCTTCCAGTTCTAGTGTTTTAGGGTTCTCTATCTCCTAGTCTTTTTAATCTCTCTTCATATGGGACCTGTTCCAGACCCCTCATCATTTCTGTTGCCCTTTTCTGAACCTTTTCCTGTGCCCATAGATCTTTTTTGAGGTAAGAAGACCACATCTGTACCCAGTATTCAAGATGTGGGCGTCCCATGGTTTTATACAGGGGCAATAAGATGTTTTCTGTTTTATTCTCTGTCCCTTTTCAAATGATTCCTAACATTCTGTTGGTTTTTTGATTTCCACTGCACACCAAGTGGATGTTTTCAGGAAATTATCCACAATTGCTCCAAGATCTCTCTCTTGAGTAGTGTGACGTAGTGGGGGTACCTGGCTGGTTTCTATGCTGCTGGCTCTGGGGTAACCCCCACTGGCTGCCGTGGGTACCAGGACCCAGCAAAACAGGATGAGTCACTATGCAAACCAGTATGGCCAGACACCCCACATGGAGAAGAACAAAGGAAGGTAGAGTTTAGTTAGTTAGTTGGCTGTCTGGGAGCATGGAGGAGACAGCCTAGGGAAGGGGCTGGAGTTTAGGGGCCGAGTCTCCCCCATCTCAAGGGGGCCTGAGGCATCCTAGCCCAGCTCTGTGACCAGATTACATCTGTGCTGTGCTGTATCCTGGAGAGGCAATAAACTTCCTCTATTCCGCTGGCTGGTGCAGTCTGTTTGTGCCATTTCGGGGTGCAGGAGACGGGGGACCCCCAACGTGCCGTCACAAGTAGTTATAGTAAATTAGTCCCCATCATATTGTATGTATAGTTGGGTTTATTTTTTCCAATTTGCATTACTTCACATTTATCAACATTCAATTTAATTTGCCATTTTGTTGCCCAATCACTCAGTTTTGTGAGATCTGTTTGAAGCTCTTCACAGTCTGCTTTGGTCTGAACTATCTTGAGCAGTTTGTTATCATTGGCAAATTTTGCCACCTCCCTGTTTACCCCTTTTTCCTCATCATTTATAAATAAGTTTATAGGATTGGTCCCAGGACAGACCCTTGAGGGACCCCACTAGTTACCTCTCTCCACTCTGAAAACTGACCATTTATTCCTACCCTTTGTTTCCTGTCTTTTAACCAGGTACCAGTCCATGAAAGGACCTTCCCTCTTATCCCATGACACCTTATTTTGCTTAAGAGCCTTTGGTGAAGGACCTTGTGAAAGGCTTGCTAGACTTCTAAGTCACTGGATCCCCCTTGTCCACATGTGTGTTGATCCCCTCAAAGAACTCGAGCAGATTTGTAAGGCAGGATTTCGAAACCATGTCGACTTTCCCCCGACAAATTGTGTTCATCCATGTGACTGGCAATTTTATTCTTTCCTATCGTTTCAGCCACTTTGCCCAGTACTGACGTTACTGTACAGCCTGACCGGACTGTAATTGCCAGGGTCCCTGCTAGAGCCCTTTTTAAAGTTGCTCTGCGAGAGACTCTCTGTGATAACATGGTCTACTCTGTGAGACGAGGGAGCCTTCTGGGAAAGCCCCCAGTTCCCCAGGGGGAGAGACAGGCCAGCAGATCTGGGAGGGGCAAAAGCAGCGCCTGACCTGCCTCCTTCTCTGCAGCTGTCTGGGGCAATCAGGATGAGTTGGACAACTTGGAGCCTCATTACGAGCTAGAGCTGATGAAAGCCCAGCAGAGGAAGGAGGTTGAGACGGAGCTGGGCATGCAAGTGAGGAGCAGGAGCCCAGCCATGCTGGGGCACCAGGAGCCTCGGTGTCTGAGCAGTCACTGCCCAGGGACCCCTCCTGGGGGGGGGGGTTCTGAGCTCGCCTGGGTCGGGAGGTGAGGGTGCGGGGGGCTCCCTGGTCTGAGGGGTAATTGCCTGTTGTCCAGGGGGCGGGGAGCTGTCTGCTTTAGGGGAGCCAGGGTTCTGAGCTCACCTGGGTTGGGTGCTGAGGGTGCGGGGGGGCTCCCCAGTCTGAGGGGTAATTGCCTGTTGTCCAGGGGGCGGGGAGCTGTCTGCTTTAGGGGAGCCAGGGTTCTGAGCTCACCTGGGTTGGGTGCTGAGGGTGCGGGGGGGCTCCCCAGTCTGAGGGGTAATTGCCTGTTGTCCAGGGGGCGGGGAGCTGTCTGCTTTAGGGGAGCCAGGGTTCTGAGCTTGCCTGGTTCAGGGGCGCTGAGGGTGCCCGGGCTGACGGGTAATTATTGCCTGTTGTCCAGGGGCTCCCCGGGCTCCAGCGCGAGCTGGGCGCTGGCTCAAGGTTGGGTGGGTTTTTAGAATTGCTGTGGACTGAGGCCCAAGGCTGCTCTTGCTCAAGATGGCAGCCAGGCCCCGGTAGCCCTTGTGGGGGCTGTGGGGCTGCCCCTAGAGAGGCCAGCGTTGGTTCCCCTCATGCGCAGTGGGACAGAAGCGGTCGAGGCTGACCGGCTGCTGGTCCCCATGCATCCCAAGCAGAAGGCGGGGGGGGAGCGGGAGCCTGAGAGGAGAGAAGATGTGGGGCAGAGGGATGTTGCCTGGCCCCAGCTGCTGTTTTGGGGGCACTCCCCACTCAGGTGGATGAGCTGATGCGAGAGGAATTGCAGCGACTGAAGCTGGCTGTGGATCGCGAGGAGGGGAAATCTCTCAAGGCAAAGAAGAGCAGCAAGGTCAGACATTCTGCACCCCAGGCCTCCTGCAGGCAAAGGGGCGCCCGGCCAGGGACAGCCCAGGGGCACCGCAGTGAGTGGGGAGAGCGCTGTTCCTGGATCCAAGGGGGGGGAGCTGGCCCTGGAGACAGAGACGGGAGGGGCCTGGGTGCTGGGGCTGCTGGATTTCTGCTCTGAGATGAAGGTTTGTTGTTTTTTCCAAGCAGCCGAAGGGGAAGAAAGGTGGGAAAAAGAAGGAGAAAGATTTAACCCCGGACAGGTACCGGCCCAGACCCCCTGCACGTGGCGAGCCCCTCCCAGCTGCCCTGACCCCGCATGCGCTCCCATGGGCTGGGCACACCCTGCTCCTGCTCCCCATGACTCCCCTCCCTGTGGGGGAGCCCCCAGCACCCCGGTATGGCCTGACCTCTCCAGGCCCCCAGCACCCTGGTATGGCCTGACCTCTCCAGGCCCCCAGCACCCCGGTATGGCCTGACCTCTCCAGGCCCCCAGCACCCCGGTATGGCCTGACCTCTCCAGGCCCCCAGCACCCTGGTATGGCCTGACCTCTCCAGGCCCCCACGTGCCCTGCCCGGTCCCTGCCAGCCTGGCCCAGGGAACATCCCTGTCTGCGCAGAGTGCACGGGCCCCAGCCCTGTGGGGGGAAGCATGGCCAGGACCGGGCTCCTCAGCCCTGCTCCCCCCCAGGACCCTGGATTCTCTGTACGAGGAGCTGGTGCTGCAGGGAATCCTCAAGCAGGCGCCGCACGTCCAGCTGGCTGACTACACACGTCCAGCTGGCTGACTACACGGGTGAGTCTGCCAGGGCCCCAGGCGTAGGAAGGGCTCTCGGGGGTGGGGCACGGGCTGCAAAGGGGGCAGGAGACCTCGCTTCATGCCCCCATAGACAGAGGAGGTCGAGAGGGGGAGGCGGAGGCCTAGCTCAGCCGGGGTCTCATCACTGGGGGGGATGGGAGGGAGACTGAAGCTGTCCCCCTCTTCCCTGCCACTCACGCCTGACTCTCTGGCAGGCGATTTCTGTTACCTGGGCTCTGCCTTGCGCATGGCGGGCATCGAACCCACGCCCTCGGTGACGGACATCAGGCAGAACATCGCCCTGTAT